ATAGGTGCGTTCTACTAAGTCCCCCTGACAACAAGACCAAGTTGCAACAACGTGGTCAACCCACTTCTATAAATCGAAAGGAGACTGCGACCATACCCGAGGCCACAACATCTTGGTCTTCACATCTTCGATGTTGGATAAAGTTGAGACTGGCAGTGCCGTGATTCGACTCAAACGGTTGCAACTAAGGCTTTCATAGCCAGCGTTGGCTTGGACACTGTCGTCAATACCAACACTGTCAAGGGGTCGAGTTTCCTCAAAACAAGGCCAGGCAAAATCGTCAGTGAACCTTTCATTTTCTTATAATCGGCCAGTTGAAGGGGTCCACCTGCGACCTACCCTCTGCCGACCCAATGAATCGGCGCTGGACTTTCGACTCACCTGCCTTTCTAGGCTTTTAGACAAAGCCAAAACGTTGGCCGACAGCAATTTCACTTGTTAAGGGGTATTTAGAAACCCGTTTTTAAACAGATTTCGACGAAATTTATCTTACATGCGCATGACTTGATTTCGATACGAGTGGCCGTCGAGACTATTGATAATTCTTGTACCGTCGTCTGAGGCGTATCCATCCTATTTCGTTTAAGAAGATGAAAGACCAGTATTTGAATTTTCCTATAATCATATGAGTAAGCCTTACGTTTCCATTCAATTTTACATAACCATGCTTTCCTTTCCTGGACAGCAGTTTCGACCTTGCCTAAGTATCAGCAGCACCCTTAGCGGGACTCGAACCCGAATAGTGCAGCGTATAGCCTTAGTACATTAACCATTGCGCCAAACTGCCACGAGTGAACTTAGGTCACAGAGAAAAAGTGAATTTAGAAGAGGGCCAAATCTTTTCTTTCTCTAATGGGATTGTAGAAGAAGCAATTGAATGCATTAATTATTTTTCAGTATACGCTGCCTATCATGGCTCGAGTACTGCTGGGGGTGTGAGGTCGAAACTGCCGCCCACCCTAAAGGATAATAGCATTTGGGAAGCAAGGATATGTGACATTCAATGACAACGTAAGGTCTACCCATAAAATTATGGGAAAACTCAACTACCATTCCCCTAAACACCTTAAACAAAATAGAGAGAATACATATCCTACACATATATCCCATAATCAGATGAGCAGGCCTCATGTCCCCATTAGATTTCATATAGCTTTCCTTCCCAAAAGGTATACCATTCCAGGCAGAAGTAAACGGCGGTTTCGGCCACAACTGAAGTGGTCTGATCAGCACCCCCAACGGGATTCAACCCTGGTCGGGAGTATCATGCGACGCTTACCATTTCGACGTGACAACGGATGCTAGGGAGTCATACTTAGTGATGTGACTCTCTCAACTCATATTTTTGACAGCTTGATTGTCGATTAAACTAGAATCTGTTTGCCACTTTGATCAATGATGTTACTTAATTTAATTATGAGTAGCTTTCTTCTTTCCTACTCCGATAAGCATCCTCAACTTGAAGAGTGATACTTTGACGAAGCCAGGCAGATGGCTGGTCACAATTCCACTTATTAGGCGATTTTATGGAACCCGTTCGTCCAGGCTCTACATGATTTGCTTGGATGATTTCCCAACTTCGCGTGTGTGTATTCTCAATTCTCAATAACTTAGGGTTTTTGCTATTCGCTAATCAAGTTGGCCAGTTGACTGTTTGCTTACTTTGCGTTTAGCTAGTTTCTTCAAGTAAGTGAGTGTATCCGGGTTAAAGGGTTTTGACATACAACCCCAAAGTGCAGGCACTAAATAGCCATTTGCCTTCTGCTGCTCATGACTCTCCTCCTCCTGACTGATTATTTAGGTCTTTAGGGTGGGTTTGCTGGAAACTGTATATCTAGATTGAGCCCAGTGATAAAGAAAAAGGGAGAAGCACGATGAACTAGGCAAATAATACATTTTTAAGATAGCTCCAACAATAGAGGTTACAATCAGAGTACCACAGCAAAGACGAAACGAAGTGGAAAGGGTTGGAAGATTTGAGGTCGTCTCTATGATATCCAACTCTCTAGAATAATGATAAAAGACATAAAAGTCTACTTATTTGGCACAACTAATCCTTACAGGCCCTGCAAGTCTTGGATCATAAGACTTGATTAGGAGGCCAGAATGTTTACGATTTGTAGAAAAATTTTCTGAACTAGGTTCTCAGTCACGTCCATCATGATAACTGTTTCCAATGCTATATTGGAGGAAGGAAGT